CGTCTCGCATACAACATCACTCACACAACATCTCTCACAACAACATCACTCACACAACATCTCCAACACGCCCGCAGCACTTTGCTGCTTGCCAAGGGGTCGGATGTACGCCCTGGCGTCGTCTGGCGTCGGCTGGGCACCGGCGCAGATTCCGTGGCAGGCGCAGTACTTTGCTGCTTGCCAAGGGGTCGGATGTACGCCCTGGCGTCGTCTGGCGTCGTCTGGCGTCGGCTGGGCACCGGCGCAGATTTCGTGGCAGGCGCAGCACTTTGCTGCTTGCCAAGGGGTCGGATGTACGCCCTGGCGTCGTCTGGCGTCGGCTGGGCGCCGGCGCAGAATGCGTGGCAGGCGCAGCACTTTGCTGCTTGCCAAGGGGTCGGATGTACGCCCTGGCGTCGTCTGGCGTCGTCTGGCGGCTGGGCACCGGCGCAGATTTCGTGGCAGGCGCAGCACTTTGCTGCTTGCCAATTTAAGGGGTCGGATGTACGCCCTGGCGTCGGCTGGGCACCGTGGCACTTGGATGTGCGGTTGGGGTTATAAGTAGATAGCCTGGTTGTCCAGCTTATAAGTGCACTTACTAACCAACATAGCCTACATACTAAGTCGAACTTAGTCGGACTTAGCGTCGAACTTAGTGTTGAACTTAGTTGGACTTAGCCAAGTGGCCTATGTTCAACGTGTTGTACTTAGGTCGAACTTAGTCCAACATAGCTAAGTGCAACTAAGTAGAACATGTTCAAAAAAAATCACTTGGCTAAGTTCGACAAGTTGGACTTATGACGCGCCAAAAGTGCTGATACTGTATATAAAAAAACAAAAAAACATAACACTAGTGGAACGAAAACTAAGATAAACATATTGGTTTGCGATAACCATAAATCAAAAAACGCAAAAAAAAACACATTGTGAGAGCTACAAAAAGCGGAACACAAATATATTTTCGGCTGTTGATTATGTTTAATATATACCCGCAACGCAATGGTTGCAGTGGCGTTTTGGGTATATATTCAAGGCTTTTGACCCTTCCATGAGCATGACAAACAACCATTGGAAGTGCTATATCCTTTTCGAAAACATATATAGAGTGATCCAACCAATACATATAGAAAAACAATCAGGAAGAGTGATCACAAACAAAAACACATCGCACAATATATACATTAAAACCATATGAGGAAGAGTAACACAAAAAGTAACACATACAGAAACATGTTAGGAAGAGTGATTCCAAAAAAACTACATGGTGCATATACAGTTTATATTCAAAAATAAAACACATCTTACGTATAGAAAACAATGTTAGTAATAATGATCCAAAAGAACGTCCTACATATAGAAAAAATGTTAGTAAGAATTAAAGTTTTAACACAACGTACATATACAGTGGAACCATATTAGGAATAGTGATCTTTAAAAAAATAATGATATTAAACTCTGCGCGCTTATGTGCCACCATGTGCAACCACAAAATGTGGTTCTTGCAAAGTATGATG